ATCTTGGAGCTGTAGTGGTGTTATCCTGGGGTCATAAGAGCCCTACACTGATGCACTTTATTGGTGCCGTAGCAGTTCATGGGTGATGTACTGTATTGGCCTTACCCTGACATACATACTGCCAAAGCACCCCGCTGGTATATTGTACCTGTAGGGTAGCCACTGCACCATCAGCATCATATACTGTGTTAGACATGCCACAGGGGGATGTAACCAGCATCGTACCACTGTAATACAGCCTGGTACCAATGGCTTTGAATATCGGCCTGGGTTGTGGGCGGGGAGGCATGTCACCCAGCTGGCCATCCCTGGCGCCGCGGGCAGGGAGTTGGGTCACCATTTCAGAGGGCTGGCACTGACTGGGGCAGGACACCAGTGCCAGGGGTCACAGCAGCTTCACCCCGGCTATGCTGTACCAATCCAAGAGTAGCTCTGCAGCTGCTAATGCAGCACCCACCCCCTCACATCTTCCAGGACCTGAAGTGGACAAGTAGGTTGGCAGCTCCTCCTGGAAACCCAGCCACGGCTCTGCTCGCTTCTGCCCGGCTGCTTGAGGTAGAGGGACACTTTCCTTTCTCTCCCCCCGGGTGTGTGCGAGGGGCAAAAAGGGGAGGGAAGGGCGAGTTATTTTGCCAGCTGCCTGTCCTGGCAGCACACTCCCCTCCTGCAGCTGCTTTCCACTGCATCAGCCCTTCAGCACAGGGCAAGGCGAGGACTCTAACCGCTCTGGAATGGCTGCCATCTCCATGTGTTGGAAGGCAAGCCAGGCGGCTCGCGAGGGGAGCCTGGGCCGCAATTACAGCCGGCTGCATCCATCTGACGGCTCAAACAACAAAGCAGCTCAGAACGGGTGAGTAATCCTTGCACTGCCCCCTCCCCCTCCAATAAAAATAGGCCTGGCTCAAGGAAATGTACTGGGCCAGTTCATATTTTTCTACTCTGACTGGCACATCAAACAGAGGTGGGACCAGGGCCAGGAGAAATCACAGGGTGTGAGCTACCAAAATTGTGTCCAAACCTCACAAGAGCGCTGCCCCCCGGCCCACACACTGCCACCCCACACAGGCTTCCAGCGGCCAGAAACCTGAAGCCAGGAGGTGTCAGGCAGTTGAAGAAAGGCGCCTCTAATGCTTCCCCTGGTACTTACCCGCCCTCAAGGCGGGCCGGGCCGGACCAGCCACATGCTACCTAGCGACAGGCCTCCCCCGTTCTGTTCTTCAGCACCAGATGGGGAGGTCCTGCTGTGTGATGGATGGAGGAGGCCTGGCAAGGTGAGGAACTCCCACCAGGAAGCTGGGTCACTGACTAACGTGATAGATGGGAACCGTCCAGTGACGCACTTTGCAAAACCAGATGGCTAGACACTGATCTCAGATAGGTGGTTTGGCGGGCAGCATTGCCTGGTGATTCGGACGGGGCAGGGGGTGGGGAGAACACGAGGATGCAGGATTCTTGCCTTCTGTTCCCAGCTCTGCCACTGACTCGCTTTGGGGGCTTGGGAGAAGCTCTCTGCCTCAGTTTACCCCCTCTATAAAATGGGAAGGAGGATGCTCAGTTACCTGAGGATGGCCTTGAAGCTTAATGAACGTTTGCAGCGTGCTTTGAGATCAGCTCCTGAGATGAAGGGCAGCCCCTCTGAGCTGAGTCACCGACAGTTTGCTTTTGTGCCGGTCCCTGCCTTAGCCAGCTGCTGGGAAAGGAGCGAATGGGCAGGTTCTGGATTTGCTGAAACGGAGACACAAGCTGCACGAATCATCCTCACCTCCTCGCACCCCCTCACTCTCACCCTGCAGCAGAGTGGGTGTGGGAGACAGAGCAGCAGGCAGGTTTGCTTGGCGGTGACCTCCCAGCCCAACAGTCTGATTGGCTGCTGCAAAGGGGAAAAAATGAACAGATGAGAGCCTAATACACTGAACTTCCCAAGACACACCGAATCCTAGGAAGCCGGAAAATGGAGAAGTTGCTGCTGGACACAGGGACTCTGAAGTGAACTGTGGCTGGGGTTGTTCTGCTTTCATTTGGCCTCGGTTTTCTCCAGCTGCCATAAAACTAGCATGACACTTGACACGTCTTGTGGTCTGGCTCATGAGAGGCCCATGCCTGGGTTAGTAGGGGGCCATTCCAAGGGAGGTGGGGGGGGAGTCGGCCGAGCGATGTAGCATGCCTGGGAGAGGAAGGGCTGCTGCAGGTGACAAGTTCGCAGGTTGTGGCCAAGTAACGTGGGGTGCTGCTAGGGAGGAGTGAGGTGCATCAGCAGAGCTGTGGGGGGATCCAGGACTGGGATAGCAGGGGGCTGCCGGCTGGGAGTGAGCCAAGGTGGGGGTTGTTTTACAGAGGTGATGGGGAGGAGGAGCTGGCATAGTACCTGGCCACAGTGCCCCTTATTCTAGCTGCTTAAAAAAACAAACCAAATAAAAAAAGGGTGAACCAAAATAAAATGAACAACCCCATCTCTGGTTATAAAGGAGAGATCAGCGTCTCCTCCTCCTTGCAGAACAACAACCCCGTGACCGCCCACGGCAGCCAAACCCAGAGCAACTGTTTCAAGGCCTCCTTGTGTTTCCCAGGAGCTCTCTGTTCGCTCTTCTCCCTGAGAAGGCCAGAGAAAGGGCTACACCTGCCTTTTGGGCACCAGGCAAAGGAAGTGACTTTAGCCTTCAAATGTTCTTAGCAGCTGAGCCCTGCCAGCAAAGCTTCTGCAAGGAAACCCCCGGGGAGAGGCCAGGAAGGCAGCTTTCAAGTTTTAGTGTAATTGAAATCATGGAGAGGGGTGGGGAGGGGCTTTTTGGGGTTGGTTTTGTTTTTTTTTCTTTGCAAACTTGGCTTGGTTTTAATTAGGTGATGCAAATTCTTCAGCTGAGCTCCGGGTCTGAGGGGATATAAGGTTTTACTGAGCCCGCCTGAGGTTGTGTTTGGTGCCTTGTCTCCTAGCAGCGCAAACCACATGGATGTGAGAGGCTGTTTTATGATCTGCCTGGGCTGTTGTTGGACCGGCTACAGGGAGCCGCGTTAGTCAACCATGCGGGATCGCTGCTGCTGCCTCGCTTGCATTTGTGTGCCACCAGGCGAGTGGGGGACAGGATGGATTCCTTCAGCCCTCCCGCTGCCAGCTTGGCATAGGTCCACTTCTCACCTCCCTCGCCAGGTCGGATTCTAGAGAGGTGCTGAGCTCGGCGGGGGACTCTTTCATTTCCTCAGCTTGTCAGTGTTTCGGTCAGAATACTTTGCACTCACGCCATGCAGCAACATCCCTCGGAGGATTTCTAACCACTTGGCAAATGGTAACAAGTTCCGCTCCTGTGTGGGAGACAAACGCCAGTATCCCCGTTTTCTAGATGGGGAAACTGAGGCACGGAACTGCTAAGTGATGTGCCCAAGGTCACCCAGCAAGTCAGCTACAGG